CATTGAACAACATAATAATTATAATGCATTCATAATTATAATCATATTTCTGGTGATAAACTGGGCTTAAATTGTTTTCAAGTCCTCAACATAAAGGGTTTGCAACTATTATTTAGGACTTCATTATACACTTCCACTCAAAGGAAATAACAGTTTATTTAATTCATACAAGAAATATGAATTTAGCCATAAAAGTGGAGTTTAATAAATAAAATAAACAAAATTATCGACAAATACATTATAGAATTTAATGAATTAGGAGTTAATTTGTTAATAATAGTCAACATCGAGTATTAAATTATTATAACGTTTGCTAATAACAACAATTTGAGCGAATTATTCAACACTTTCGCCTAAAAATGCATTTAATATCAAATATGAGTACAAAATCAACACTTGAATGAGTTTCTAGAAGTTATCATTAAATAAATTGAAGTAATTTTACTTTGAAACCAAAGAGTGAAAACAAAATTGACTGAATTCCTGATATTTTCCACAAAAAAAACTGATTTCCAACTCAACCATAAAAATGAAATTAAAGCCAAAATAAAATGAAACAATAATTTCTCCCTTTCTTTACTTAAACTGAGATTAACTTTGAAACGAAATTGAATTGAAATTAATTTGTAAGAAAAGAGATTAAAATCTGACGAGAAATTCATATTAAAAGCTATTATTAAATTAAAACTAATTAAAAGTGAATGAAAGATGAGATGCGAAACTCGTATGAAATGAATGCAAAATATTAAATAATAACACTAATGAATACTTTTTTTATGGGATTGTTTTGACGGATTTGTTTAGATTATAGATAACATAATAGACTGAAGAATATATTAAACCCAAAATTTATTACAAGTTGTATAAGTTTTATGCATCTATAAGGAGGAAATGCACTGTAAATGTGTATTTCATTTGATCGTCAAAACAGTTGAAGTGAAGGTCGAGCCGACCATCGCATCACAACTTCTTAGCATTTTGACTACTCAATAGTCGGGGCACCACTACCTCAGCCCAAGTCAGCCCTACCTGATCACTGCCTGACACCACCAATACATACATACCTGCCATTCAATACATACCAACCGCCAAACACTCCGCACACAACTCGACCAAAAGCCACTGCAAACCACTGGCGGACACAACCAGTCTGACTAGTTTACCACTAAAGGAAGGGGCCGTTCAGTTTGGGGTCTCCTCTCTCTCACATCCAGTACTCACACACTCTTTGCCATTCATTTGCATTCCTCATCCGAGAGACCAATTTGTGAGACAATGTCTTCAACCAAATACAGTATAATTACCTTTTGTGGTCTCTTTTGTACAATTTTATGTACGCTTTTAAACTTTAAGCGCTAAATTGCTTTCTCTATTCTTATACATTAAACGCTGTATGTCTTCCTCAGACTTCCCTTCTTTTAAATGCATACATTTATGTATATAATAATAATAAAAATAAATTTATGTTTCATTTCAAAAGTGATGTGTTCTCCGAAAATGCCTGTGAAGGTAAACCATTAAGGGTATGACTTTGAACAGTGTTATTCATATGATAATTATAACATATTTGTCAATATATTTCTAATAAATTATAAAAATTCCTTCTTTTATTAAATCAAATCACATGCAAAATGTGGAAACAATGTGTGGTTTAATCATATTTAGCTAAATTTATGGATAAATCAATTTTCAACAATTCTCTGCGTCTAGTGATGAGACAGTTATGAGTTTAGATGTAAACATATTTATTGTTGTAATCAATCAAACAATTTGTGCGAAAGGATTATATGAAACAAAATGAATGACGAGAAGAGCAATGCGAAGAAATTAGAAGAAATTTGTTTAATTGTAAATCAAATCAAAAACTTGTATAAAATGATTACATCGGAGTCAACACATCTCGGCATTGCTCTCATTCTAATCGCTTGTATAATAGCTGTGTTCACATTCATTGCAATCGTTTATCACTGTTATATGTGGTCCCGGTTTGTATTCATTCCCATACTTTTATTGAAGTTTCTATTTTTATTGAGATTATCGATAGTTTATTAATAAAATCTCTGAGAAGTTGATAGTAATAGAGATATCTTAAGTTAGTTATTAGATAAATAGCATGTTTTATTTTGTTACTAATATTAATATGAAATTTCACACATAGTGTTAAGTTTGAAATCAATATTTGTGTTTAATTATTGATGAAATGTATTGTTAGGCTCAAGAATAGCGTGAATGAGATAAAGAAAGTGGATTCACAGCCGCAGTCGAAAATCTATGAACCAATTTATGTGAAGCCAATCGTCAAGTCTATGAAGGAATACGAGACACAAGTGTTGGAAATGAGTGTCCCTATTGTCGACGACTCCATCAGTTTTGGCGAAAATGAAAATATTTACGAAAAAATTGGCCCAAATATATCGGATTTAAATTATGTCTCAAGAAATGAACTAAAAGTGAATGATTTACTTAATGGCAACAAATCCACAACAATATTGGCGCCAAATATGCCTAAAAATCCACTTTATTATGAAATACTGTAAGTTTTTTAACTTTATAATTGAGAGACAAATATATTGAACAAAAAATAAGATAATTGTTTAAACAATTAATTAGTGAGGAATCGTCTCAAACGCATCCAAATAGTGAACGTCTATTCAGTGGAGAAAATATTTACTCAACGACTTCGAGGGAAAAGACAACAGAATTATAACGACATTTTAATGTTATATATTTTTCTATATAAATATTCAATTCAGTCTAAATAACAAACACATTAATTCAATAATTATTTATATTTTTATTTGTAACAATTAATATGTAAATAACAAATTTATTAAGTTTCTTTTGTGCCAAAAATGCATTTAAGATCTAATTTATTAATGAATTATAATTATAATTGAATTTTCAGACATTTTAAAAATTATTTTTTAATCATTTCTTTATAATTCATACTTTTTATCACTCATTGAAATGTTATTGAATTGAATCCAAATTTTGTTCAAATAAAATGAATTTTGTTTTTATTTAAAAAGAGATAATTTTTACTTTAAGAGCAGTCGTCTATTAAATTTACATTATTATAATATGAAAGTTGCATTTAAGAGCCCTCCCCGGGGCCCCACCTTAACTCTCGGTAATTTATATCATCATTAAACCACTTGCTATTTAAATAATAGTAATAATCATTTTCTATAGGATTTTCACTTGAAAAATAAAACAAAGGTCTGCTTTAAAATTAATTTAAATTATATGTTTTGAATTCTGGAAATATTTATCTCAAAATGTCATTTTGCAAAACTCATCAAAATGTTTATTTGAACCAAATTTTGAGTTTTTTGATTAAATGTATTTAAAATGTCTTTTAAATTTGAAATAAATATAAATTATTTTCAAAATAAAAAACTTGAGAAAAATAAAGAAAGAATGAGAAATATTTTCGTCAAAATTGATTTCCAATGCTATCCGTGTTATACAAGAGGGAGAGACAGACATACGGTATGAACGAAATACTAATGTTAAAGAAAATAGTGAATAATTATATGTTTGCGAAAGAATGTAACAAAAACAACATAATTATAAAACAGAGATATAATGTACAGATATATTCAAAAAATTGTTTTCATATAAAAAGCATTAATGGATGAAAAATATAAGATTACGAAAGAAATTAAAACTGAAAAGAAAAATGAAATATTCATTATTTGGAAGAAATATATATTTCATGATAAATATAAACATAAACTAAATAAAAATACAAATCAAGTGGCAATTGAACACATATCCAGCGGTAGTTTAATATTGCTTTTTGAGATGCATTTTGTTATCAAAAGGTCGGCAAATAAAAAGCAACAAATAATTTACCAATTTATTTAATATATTGAAATTTTCAAAGATGTTTAATTTAAGTGTAATTTTATACTAAAGTATACAATATCTTGCATTTATATCTAGTTTTATTAATTTTAATCAATCAATCATTTAAATAAATTGTCGATTTTATTTAAAAAAGGATGAAATATATATTTTGATGCTTTGCACGAATTTTACATAAAATACACATAATATATTATATTTATGTTTTTCAAAAAATCTAATTTTAAGCCCATTTGACGAAATATATTGTATATAAGTGTTAATGTATTGCAATAAAAAGTTATATTTATTTTTATACATGATTTGTTAACTAGAAGTAAATATCACAGAGATTTGAGACGGCATTCAAAAAATGAACAAACAATCATAAAAAGGGGAATTGAGTACAAAATAAAGTAAAATAAAAAACACCAGCAATTATTCAAAGTTAGATTCAGCCGATTGTAAATGCCTTGTCTTGACGTCATTGTATGCAATGGTAAATATGCTCTTCTTCTCCATAAGATCGCTGTTTTTCATATCCAAATCAATGTTCGCGTTGGCAATGGTTTTACCGATTCCTGAATCAGAATCGTATGACTTTTCCGATGTTTCAAAACTATTTTCTTTTGTCAATACTTTCTTTCGATTCTTTTTGTGTCTTTTATTTGTGTTTTCTGTCGACTCTTTTGTCGTTTCAATATTTGTGCCGTTTTTACTCTCTTTTAACTCAATACTGACGGGAACTCCTTTCACAGAAGTTATATGAATGCTGTCGTCATTATATGGACTATAATTCATAATTTCATTTAGATTTTCATTGCTTTCATTAATGGGTTGCAACACATTTGTGTCGCCCAATAGTCTCTCATTTTCAAACCTGGCTTCTAATCCTTCTCTCCTTTGGTCGTCGATCACCGAAACTCTTTGACTTGATTTGGATGTGTCGTCATTACGAGCATAAGAAGCAGATGTCCCAGAGATGGGCTGATTGTGAGCGATACTGTTGGGCATCATTCCCGGGACGACAACAACTTCTTCTGGAATTGTCATGTTTTGGTCATTGAAATAAATGTGTTTCTGTTTCGACTTCGACGCGAATCTCACTCTCATATCGCCTTCTTTACCGGTTTGAGACACATCTGAGTCGAAATCCTGGTCTTCATTATATGGCACATCGTTTTGACTGATACTTCTCAACACCTCCTCTTGTGATCGTCCTTTTGTCGGGCTTTGAATGTAAAGAATTTCCGTGCGTTTCGGGAATGCGACTAAATTGTCATTATATGGATGTAATGGATGTACTGTTGGACGACTGGATCTGTTCACTACCACAGCGTTGTGTTCGTTAAAATCGTCGATAACGTAGGGCTCATTAGTTGTGCGCAAATATCCCATATTATCGACGCCTTTGAATGTTCTCATCGGTTGATTGTTTGGTCGATGAGTTAGAAATCCGTTTCTGTAATCTGTTTTTGAATCCTTTTCGTCGTAAGAATCATAATATTGTGGACCAACTCTTGTCCGTTGATTGCGATTAAGTTTATAAACTCGTTGATAAAGTGATGGATTTTGTGCCAAATACTGATCGGGATATGATTGGGAACTGTTTGCTCTCACACTTTGCATGTAATGGTTTTGGTCGTTGTTTGGCGCAGAGGAAGGTCTGTAACCACTCGACAAATGGATTCGGTCGCCAACGCCTTCATTCCAGGCCTGAACCGAATGGTTGGATCTCTTGTGATAATTGGATTTATCATATCTTTCATTAACAGATTTATTGTCTTTGTGTCTCATAACTGAACCATTGGTCGATGTCTTCAAATAAGTAGTTTTCTCTGAGTCGTCCAGTTTTTGGCGGCTATTGTTTAGAAACACATTAGAAATAAAGTATTATTTGACGAATCATTTAATATTTAATTATCTGTACCGATATCTATCTCGACAGCAACAGAACCAACAAATCAAGAATATAATTAAGAAGACAAGAGTTCCGGCAATCAATATAATAAGGAGCCAAATAAGTAGCCGGAAATCGTTGCCAGCGATTTGTGTTGTCATAAATTTGTTGGCAGTTTCTCCGGAGTTGAAATCCTTTCCCATGATTTGACTCAATATTGCGGGCGTTTGATCCAAATTGACTAAAAATGCCAAGTTTACGTTATTTGAATTCAATTGTATTTTTAAATCATTAAAAATACAAACCTTCCGATTGTGAGGGGTATGCCATCCACGCCATTATGTCTGTCACGTCTTTCTGTTTGTCCTTTTGACTAATCTGATAAATATGAACTTGGGCGCCACTTAAATCAACCATGCCCCTTTAATATACATTACATGCAGAGTTAACTTAATATTATAACTTTTATATGCATTCAACAAACCTTTCGATCGCAAGTTTGCGTTTAATTACGTTTTCCTCTTTCTCTCCAATCTTGAAGACAACGGTTCTGTTGAGGAAATCGGGATTATGTATGTAAACGGGAACAGATGTGGATCGGTATGGGATGCCGTGATCGTGGGCTCTGATCGTCAGATTAAACACAGGCATAAACTTAATGGTCTGGTATTGATTAAGAGCAGGACTCGACAGTTTGGGTCGGATATCATTAACGCGCGAAGAGTTGATCCGTATCTCTCCCGAAATTTCATTAATATAAAAGAGATCGTTATAATTGCCGCCAATGAGCTCATAGCTAACATTGCTGTTAGCAGTTCCCACTTCGTCGCCGTCCACTGCCTTTACAAACAATGGTTGTGTAAATGTGTATCGATCGGGGTTTAGGACGGCGTCGTATCGGGGCTGCAGAAACACCGGCTCTTTGTCTGCCAATCAAAGGGTTAGTTAATATAAACTGAGATCCATTTGAAACAAGGCTTTACCGTTGATGTCCCCTATTTTGATGTGCAATTCGGTCACATTCTTGTTGCCGCGTCCCGACTCATCCCTCGCTTCAACAGTTACCCGATATTCAGATATAATCTCTCGGTCTATGTTTTCGTTGGTCTTCAGTGTAATAACTCCCGTCTCGGCATTGATTTGTAAACTAATCGATTGTAAATATGTGTAAAAAACTAAACAATATTTCTTAATATAAAATGTAGTACTCGTCAGAAAGCGGGCCATTAATAGATGTATAGCGGATGTGACCGTATTCTCCAGAGTCGGCATCCGTGGCCTCAATCCTGGCCACAGTAGTGCCCGGAACTGCATTCTCGGGTATAACCGCTTCGTATATTCTTTGCGAAAATTGTGGGATATTGTCTGCAAATTAATTCAGTCATCGTTTAGCTTAAGTCCATATTTATTATCACTTAAATATACCATTTAAATCAATCAATTTTATGGTACAAAATATGGTTGAATTAAGCGGATTATGAGAGAGATCTGTTGCCGTCACCTTTGATTCAATAAATAATAATACAATAATTAAATACTATTTTCTACTGATATTGACATCAAAGCAATACTTTAACAGTGAATTGTTTGTCTGAATTTGTTTCGTAATCCAATTTTGTGGAGTCTTTCACAACAATAGAGAAAATAATTTCATTAATTCCTCTCTTGGGTTGAATCATGAAAGTGTCCGACGGGTCGTTGACTGTCAGATCCATTGTGCCATTAATGCCCGGATCGTTGTCCATCACTTGCGGATTACTGGACCGCTTAAAATAATTTCATTAATTCCTCTCTTGGGTTGAATCATGAAAGTGTCCGACGGGTCGTTGACTGTCAGATCCATTGTGCCATTAATGCCCGGATCGTTGTCCATCACTTGCGGATTACTGGACCGCTGCCAGAGGACAGGTGTCATGTGTTGACTGTTTTCCTCAATACTTCCAAACATGTGTTCAGTTTTGAATTGCGGGCGTCTGTTATCCGTTGACACTATCACTAGACTTATGTCTTGATTGCTGGTCATCGGGGGTATGGTATCATCAGATCTCTTCTGGGCTTCAGGAACCACTTCTATTGCCATTACGTTTAGAATCATAGGTTCTTTGGTTCCGATTTCTTGTTTAATGTCATCGATGGGTCGCCGCAACACAACCGACCCACTCGTCTCTCAGATCTCTTCTGGGCTTCAGGAACCACTTCTATTGCCATTACGTTTAGAATCATAGGTTCTTTGGTTCCGATTTCTTGTTTAATGTCATCGATGGGTCGCCGCAACACAACCGACCCACTCGTCTCGTCGATTCCGAAGAAGGATCGCAGAGATGACTCTAAACATACAAATTATGCAAATATTTCATATAAAAGTCATATTATAGGACATACTCGGGTCGATATCGTATGTAATGTTGCGTTGATTGCCATAATCGCCGTCCACTGCACTCACATTTAACACAATACTTCCCTAAGAGTTGTGTTATTAATTCAAATTATAACATGAATTTGAAAAGTATTGGAGTTAACAAATACTCACAACTTTAGTATTTTCCGATATTTTCACCACATTTGGCAAATCAATAAACACGGGCGGAGTGTCTTGAATATCAGTGATTACCACCACTTTGTCAGTGATTGCAATGTTTCGCGTGTCGTGTGTTTCGTTTGTCCAGCAATTCTGTCATCATTTAGTTTATGAGCAAAATTTTTAATATATTTTTGTTATAAAACGCTTACCAAAGCGACGATTGACAAAATATACAGATTTTGTCGCTCGTAATCGACTTTTTGGAGTAAATAAATCTCTGCATTACTTGTGCCTAAAGATTGATTAGCTTTTAGTTAAGCAAATAGTGTGCGAAAAGTTCATTACGGTGTTTACCTCCCGGACCAAAGATGTACTTAATGGAAAACTTGTCGGAACCCTTTGATCATAATTAAATCATAATTAAATTAACACCAATAATATTGTTTAAAAAATGTACCCTTAATTCAAAATTGACGGGAAGATTGCTATTCTCCTTCTCCCTCACACTTATTGTGGCAATTGTTTGGTTTGTATTTGTGCTCTAATTATATTTAAAGTAACATTAATTTAAAAATAAATTAATTATTACAAATAATATTAAGTCAAACCTCAGATATTTTGATTATATTGTCGGATAAAACAAATGGTGATTCAGTGATGGGAATGCTTTCGGTGACAATGATTGTGGACTCGACTTCAGTGTCATGTTTACCATCGGAAGCGTAAATTGTTATCCTATATTCCGGTTTCTAAATATGGCATCAAATGAATTATTTATTAATTAATCAAAACTATATCTTAAACTCACTGTTAGCGGCATTTTTAAATAGACGTCCGCCGCCTGAAAGCTAACATTTTTAAAATATACTAAACGGTTGCCGACTATATCTCCGCGAACACCAAACTCAATGATGTCATTGTCGGCATCGGTTCCCTTAATTCTGTATATTATTGAATCGACTTTTGTATTGTTTGGCAACTTTAAGACTCGCATATTATGCGAAAAGTCAATGATCGGCGGATTCGCCAAACATA